CATAATTAGTTGCGTTTGTTTGTGTCCTTTGTCCTGTTTGTTCGCGCTGCTAGGATGTCATAACGTGTTTCGAAGATTGCACACAAAGAGCCCGCGCACGTCTTTTCTCCAGTGGTTCATTGATGTTTGCTAAGAAACGACTCCCGTTTAGAACCAGTTGAACGCATTTGTTGTAAGAAAAGAAGTATTATTACCAAACTTATGCTTGCCGTAGGGAAAGCCGGATATGGCATATAACAGAACAATATTGCTCGTTTGTGAGCATTTTTAGGTTCCTGAAATATTTACATTACAATATCGCCCATGTCATTGCGTCTGCGGCATGTTTTCTGAAGAAGAGGTTTACACTCCTATTTCTTATTTATTGATTTCTTTCTTTTAGTTCAGATGACGCTGCAAGGGGCGAATGTCAGCAGTGTTGGTGAAACTCCCAATGGTATGCAGAAAAAAAATTGGCCCCGTATCCACATGTTAATCTGCAAATGTCATCGAAAGACGACAGTCTTTCGGGCGGAGAGAGTGAACAAGACATTTATTTGATGTTCTGCGCAAGAATGTTGGTGAATGGTATTCTGGAGACGCTGCGTTAGAGTGCCTCGAGCGGGCAGCGGAGGCGAACGAATGCATCAAGTCACGTCACACGTGAGACATGAGTGCCATCTGGGGGTTTTCTTAGAAAACAAAGCGCGTGGCTTTGAGTCGAGTGTGCGCGCCCATCTCAGAGGTTATAAGGTGTAGACCACAAGGCGACGGGTAGGTGCCACTACCGTCTCGTCTTAGTAAAGCGTTGGAAACACTCGCTTTTCCGTGCAAGCGTTGCATGGTCAGCGCAGCGTGATAAGCGCTACGGTACTTAAAATTACTTATGTATGCCTTTTCTACTAAAAGACGCACAAGCAGAATATATAAGTGTTGTTATGGTGCCCCAGACATACACAATATTTGCTTTTTAATTGACGATTACACAAGCATGAACGCTCTACCTTGAGCAACATTGGTGGGCGCTGGGGATGAGGTCAGCCGTTTTAAGTACCTGATGCCGTTAGGAGTGGACAAACAGACAAGTGTACAGACAAACAGACAAAACTTTCTGCGTCGAAGGTACCCAAGAAAGACTATCGTCTTTAATAAAGTGCCCATTCAGCTACATGAGTTACCATTCCGGAAGAAATATCGCCTGATGAACCACCACATCTTGCAGGTCAGCCTCCACAAGAATTCTCGTTGCTGCTTGGTGGCTGTTTTCGTTCCTACTGGTATCGTCATACACCGCCAACCTGGCGTCCTTCTTGACTCGAGAAAGGCTCCGGTCACCAATAGAAAGCGTCGAAGACTTGGCAAAGCAGACCGAGGTTCTGTATGGCTGTGTCCGCTTTGGATCTACACAGGCTTTCTTCAAGGTATGAGCTCGTTTCTGAACTTTATGCTTAATGTTTTAAATGAAAGTTCATATGCATGAACTTCGCGAAAGTTGTTTGTGCCTCGCGAATTTTTTTGGTAAAATGAAAAACAATTATTGCAGAGTTCATCCTACTTGTTCATGATGAACACAGGGCCACCAAAGCGGAGCACCAAAGAAAAACAGACACATGAACTTTTTACTTCACTCTTGTTTGCTTGGTTTCATAGAGCGGAACTCCGAAATTCTTTGCCAGCAAATTATCCAGTAGGCAGCTTTAATAAAATTTATTTGTACTAATAAGTTATTGATTAAATATTCCATAAGTGTCATGTGAACTGGGCTTGAAAGTGAAGGTGCAAAATCAACAGGCAACATCGAAGTAAAAATGCATGTACACTGTTATACTACGCACGGAGGACATATTTGTGTTTACAAATCAGAATTGTGTATACCTATATTTTCATGCAGTATATGTTAATCTTACATATATGTAACATACATCTGTGATTGTGTTCTAGAAGCAATTTTCGTTGTCGTGAAACCACGACACGACCACACGCTTCTACAATCGGTGGACTAGCAATCGGATATTGAGCCTGATTGATATTAAGGAAAGTGCTTGGTCCTGATGACTTCATACGGAATGAGCTGCTCGGAATTTCGACGTTTTCGCAAGCACGTCATAAAAATTTGGTCATTGACTGTGCAGCACTTTCGAGCGTGGTAATTTTGAGTGTTTGTGACACACACATCAAATGGTACGCTTTATGCGCAGGATTCCAAACATGAGACATACGAGAGGATGTGGAATGTCATGAAAGACAACCTGGTATCGTCCAACGCCGAGGGCGTTGAGCGGGTGGAGCGTGGAGGCTACGCCTTTCTGATGGAATCAACCAGCATAGACTATGTGGCTCAGCGTCGGTGCGAACTCACGCAGCTCAGAGGGCTCCTGGATTCAAAGGGATATGGTATTGCAATGCCACAAGGTATGTGATAAAATTTGTTTATCGTTTCTCCTGATGTAAAACGTACACGTACATATTACTAAACATTGACTAGATTAATATGTGAAAATAATACGATGAGCTTCAGTTATGGTTGCACTGCTTGATTATGAAGTAACGTCACGCAAAATGGTATATATATGCCTTACTGTCAGGAGGTTAATGAACAGACAAGACTGCGGAAAAAAAATTGACCGGTTTCGTCACTACGGCAAAGCAATGAGTGCAATAGCAAAACATTTTAATATCACGTGGACACCGACAAGCATCTCGATATACTGAGCACGCCGATACGGCACTAAGAAGGATGGCTGATAACGCATAGGTCTAAGATGGACAAGTGTGATCTAGTTACGCCTTTGTATTTGAGGAATGCGCTGAAAAATGTCTGCAATGCAGAAGACAACGCTCTTGGATTTTTTTTTTAAACATTAAAGTGTTCTATGCCGGTTTCCACTAAGACTTCAGTGACTTATTTCTGTCGCGGATATGACGTTGTAAAATAACGTCACCACGTGAGAAAGAAAGAAGCATTCAAGAAGTTTTCCCATTGATCATCAAACCTCTGACTCTTGGGGAAACGGGGAAAACCACCAAGTATTTACCAACTAAGGTATTGAGACAATTTTTGATTGACTGATTGATTGATTGATTTGTGGGGTTTAACGTCCCAAAACCACCATATGATTATGGGAGACGCCGTAGTGGAGGGCTCTAGAAATTTCGACCACCTGGGGTTCTTTAACTTGTATCCAAATTGAGCACACGGGCGTACAACATTTCTGCCTCCATCGGAAATGCAGCCGCCGCAGCCGGGATTCGAACGCGTGACCTGCGGGTCAGCAGTTAAGTAGCTGAGCCACTAGACCACCACGGTGGGGCAAGGTGTTGATACAAAAGCTGGGCTTGGTATGAACACGCCCTATGTCTTTCACACATTCTCGTTAACTCCGCGCTTTTTGTAGGCGAACCTCGGAGGTGCTGCCATGTGTAAGTGCTTAAATAAGTAATGGAGCACAACGCAGTTTAAGCATGGTATTCGAGATTGTGCACTGGCATGCAGTCTTGGAATCAATGATTAAATCTTCACGTTAGCAGTGAACAACCCTGACCGAAGGAGCATCGGAGAGTCACCGACGTAGTTATGTTTTTTTTTCTTTCACTGGAAATCCCTTTATGTATACGTCCTGTACAGGGTGTGGCCACCTGCCTGGCTAATGCCACGTTGGGACTGGGAGGTCAAGCCTCGCTTCTTGTTAGCGCGTAACCTCTCAATGCTGACGTCGTGCAGCTTTTACACGCATGTTACATGCATGATACGTTCCCCACCACCGACTACTTCATTTGTGATAGCAGTGGTCACTTTAATAAAGCTGCTGCAATAAGCAATGCAGCAAGGGAACGATGTCGACGGGCGAACGTCGCGCCTAGGTGGAGCGCTACTGAGACCAGCAGGACGTAGAACGCCGGCTCGCGTTCTTGACTCAAGCTACGAACCTTTGTGTCCCGCGTTGCTGAAGCGCAGTTTATATGCTTGACCACTCCCGTAGGTTTAAAGAGCGCACACCGTGCTGTTCCTCTCCATAACGGAAGATGTTTGAAGACGCGCTTAAAGAATAACAGTGCTTAGTGTGTGCCAGTTAATGTCATCTTTGTGCGCGAATAACGATACGATGTGTTCAGGTATATGACGAAAAATTCAGCAGAGTCCCCGTACCTGGGAATTAACGTTATGCGAAGCATGCGGAGGGAAGGTGACTGTGTTGCAACTTTTTTATTGAGCGACACGTCATGAAATGACGTCCCACTGCGGTGGTCTAGTGGCTAATGCATTCGGCTGCTGACCCGCAGGTCCCATGATCGAATTCCGGCTGCTACGGCTGCACTTCCAATGGAGGCGGAAATATTGCAGGCCGAAGTGCTCAGATTTCGGTGCACGTTAAGGAACCGCAGGTGGTCGAAATTTCCGGAGCCTTCCACTACGGCGTCTCTCATAATCATATGGTGGTTTTGGGACGTTGAACAACACATACCATTCAATCATTCATGAAATAACGCTAAATATATGTACAAATGTTGCACACGCAGACATATGTTGAAGAGTTAGAGAGGTTCATATAGCCTGTTGTTTGCACTTGCGCAACGATGCCAACTGGAACATGCGTATTAGCAACACACACAACCTGATTTGAAGCGCTCATGCTCGCGAGAATGCTGTGCCTGGACACTGCAACATAAACCGACTTCAGCGCATGGCAACTTACCACAATTGACGTTAACCGAACGTGACGGCTGTATCAAAGAAGTACATAAGTAATGTTTATAAAACTACGTAGGCAATACTGCAACCACTACAGGCGTTTCACGAAGATTAGCGTCTATTTGAAAAGTATTTTCGATACCTGACACTGATACACAAGAAGGCAATCTTTGAGATAGTGGTGAGAGAAAAACAGGAATCGAGAGTATTGCTGCACAATAGATTCGAGGCTCTGAATGGTGTAACCGACGTTAGCGTTTATAATATGAAGGATAATCTTATTAGTAGTATTAAAAAGTGTGCAAGAGAATTCGGAGGTGCAGTCACTAGACTGAACGCTGGCAAACTATCTGAGGAGACAAAAAATGTCATTAAGAGATGACAAACCACGAATGCATAAAATATTACCATCAACTAAAGCTAGTGGAGATTTCGAAGTTATTAAATAGGCGTAAGGTAGCCGACACCAAAAGGTATAACATGGAGAGAATCGAGCAGGCTGTAAAAAGTGGCAGAAGCCGAAAAGCTGTGAAGGCTAACATGTGCATCGGCGAAAATTGAATGTATGCATAATAAACAAGTCAGAAAATGTCATACTTATTATATATAGAATAGTTGGAGTGGCGGAAAAGTTCTACAGAAATTTCTGCGGAAGCCGAAATAACCAGAAAGATATCGTAAGAAGCAATATTAACTCAGAAAAATTCGACATCTTACCAGTAACAACAGGGAAAGTACGGAAAACCCTACAAGGAATCAAACTGCTGGTAAGGATGAGGTAACAACAGATCTACTGAAAGATAGCAGAGAAATTTTTCACTGGCCACCTTACAAACGCAGTCTCTATTGCACGGGAAGGGTACCAAATCTTAGAGGAACACCAACATCTTAATGCATAAGAAAGGAGATGTCATCGGAGTGAAAAATACAGGCTGATGAGCACACTGTGAACAATAATTTATTGATTACCAACTATTTACAACAATAATAGGTAACAGACTGAGGGCGACATTACACTTCAATCAACCAGATGACAGCTAGACTTCTCCGCAATAGACCACATTTATAGTGCCAACCAGCTGATAAAGAAACGCACGGAATACAACCAACTCCTATGCATAGCCTTCACAGATTACGAGAAGGTGTTTTACTCAGTCGAAACATCAGCAGTAATGTAGAAACCATGGATTAGGCACATCTACGAACCTTGCATAAACACACTGAAAGAAATCTACAGAAGAGCTACAGCCATCCTAGTTTTCCACAAAAAATGCGACAAAATCTCAATAAAGAAGGGTGTAAGACAGGGAGACGCGATCTCTCCAATGCTAATCACCGCATGTTTACAGGCGGTTTTTCAGGGTCCTACATATACACGAGTTAGAAATAAGACTTCATAGGAAGTATCCTAGTAACCTGTGACTCGCTAATGAAATGGCCTTGATCAATTACTCAGGGGATTATTTACAGCTCACGATTACGGGATTGGACACGGAAACCAGAAGAGTAGGTCTGAAAATTAATATGCACAAAACTGAAGCGTTGACAAGTTCGGCAGAAAAGAGCACATTGCGAAAGGGGGAGAGACGCTGGAAGTTGTAAATGAATGTCTACTTGGGACAGGAAGTAACCGTGGAGTCAACCCTTGAAAATAAAATAACTAGAAGAATAAGGAAAGGGTGGATTCCATTCGGCAAGTATTTTCGAATCATGTATAATAATCTACCACTAACCATCAAGAGCAATATTTTTGCCGGTACTTGCCTACGGAGCAGAAACCGGGAGGCTTACAGAGATGGTTCTGCTTGAATTGAGGACGACGCATTGACTGATGGAAAGAAAAATGATGGGAGCAACCTTAAGAGACAAAAAGAGAGCAGAGTGGGTCAGGAACCAAACCGGGGTAAAGAATATATTGGTTGAAATTAAGAAGAAGAAATAGACATGGGCCGGGCACGTAGCACTAGGCAGGATAACCGCTGCTCATGAAGGATAACTGGCTGAATTCTGAGAGAAGGCAAGTGCTCGAAAGGGATGCAGAATTTAGGTGGGCCGATGACATTAAAAAGTTCGCAGCTATAACGTGACAGCGGAAGGCACAAGACCAAGTTTATTCGCAGGTCATGGGAGAGTTTTTTGCCCTGCAGTGGACATGCGTACGTCCATCTGTCCGTCCGTGCTTCCATCCACCTGTCCATCCGTGTCTGTCCGTCTTTGCGTCCGAAGAGCCGGACGGCAGCACGGACAGATGGATGGAAGGGTGCGCGAATGGACGCGCGGATGAACGGACGCACGGACAGACGCTTCGTCCCACTCATCATAGTTTACTTCATGGGTATGCTGTGAAAACCACTAACGCCACTTAGATTTTCTCCCAACGCTCGGCTTACTATTACAGTGATCGCTCCATATACCATAATTTTGGTATACGGTTTCATTCGCAGATAGAATATGGAGCGATTTCTAGTTGACTTTGAGATTTATTTGAAAATTTTGGGGCACATATTGCGCTTTATTATTTGCGTCGCTTATTTGCGGAAGCCTCAACTACCTATCGACAGTGTTTTCTGACCTTGGCTGAAAAGTGTGGCAGGGTCCCTTAAAATAACCTGTATATAGAAGAATATCCTTCAGCCTTATTTACTGGCGCCGTGAAGACAATTTGCCGACTTTGATGGGACGACATTGACTAAAGATTGCCGTGCACTTGCACTGTTTGTATGCATGATTGATCATTATGTCACTATTCGGAGACCAGTAGGCTAGAAACGCAATCTGCAATCGCGTCGAAAAGTCACGTGTGCTTGTGACTATTCAATCGTAAAAACACGTGTCAAAAACTTCAAGAAGCAACATGTTCGCAACTACCAGCAGGCAAGAAGATGTAACTGTGCATGCGCAGACTAGCATCTCGTATAGCGGAAATTGCTGGTTTGGTAAAAAACAGAAATAAACGAATATTTGAAACTGAACTCTTGCTAGGCGGCCACCTAATTTGAAGGTCTGCTGGAATGATCCCCTGGTGGTGAATAACAAATTTAGTGTGGCACTCTGAATGTACAGAGCATGGGTTGAACTTCTAGGCCATGCCAGTTGCATTACCACGAGAGTGAATGACAAGAATACTCATGTTTTAAGATTTGTGTGCATGATAAGGAACTCTAGACTCTAAGAACTACATACCAGAGTGCTGCACTATTTTTAGGGAGAGTATTTTCTTGTCCCATCTTTCACTCTCATTCCCAGAGTAAATCACCTTTTTTTTGAGGCAAAGTTTAGTTATTCTCCCCATAAAGGTTTAAGGTACCTCACCTGAAAAGAGTAACCTCACCCGAAGTGCTCTTATGCCTTAGTTTCTTCATATCACAAGTAATGCCCATGATCTGTCTTGACATTTTCTAATTTAGATATGCAGATTTGAGTGTTTCAGCACGCGCGACAACTAAACAGATTGTAATTCATGTGTTTGCTTTGTGTCTCGAAGGGTGGCAACGTCGATCTGACTTGTTTCGCTGTAAACAAAGATTAGCGTAGCCAAAGTTTTGTGTGGCGCTCGAACTGACTCGTTAAGGGGTTATCTATTTATGTTTGTAGGAAACATCGCACTTCTGGACTACACACTGAAACAATGTCGTTTTCGTCATTCTTGATATATTTTTGGTCATTCTTGTTCAACTCGTGTGACTAAAGCCATAATACTTCGCTGTAGCTGTGCCATACATTAGGCTTATTAGGAAGCATCCTCCCTGTTTAACGTTCATAGTGAGAAATATGAATTACAAAATAACAATAAAGCATTATCTGTTTCAATTTAGTTTCGAGAAAGACCAATTCAATGAGCTGATATTATCTTATATAACTACATAAATACGCAGCCAGAAACACCGATTTTTTATTCAAGTGCCTCCGAGTGCACAAAAATTTACTGAGAAGCGCTGAAAGCGCTGTTCTTTGTAGTATTTGTCTTTAATGCCACAACAAAAAATAAAATACTTTTTACTGCATATATGGTCGGGTATTAAGTAGTGATAGTCCACTCGTGGTGTGCAGGCGCATCCATATATTGATTAGGAGCGTCAGTATAACCATGGTTTCACTCTGCCATGCTTTAGGAAAATGCGTGAATTCCACTCGCTCCAAGAGAAGTAGTGTATAAAGCAGTTTCACTCTCTCTTTTCATACACAGTGAAAACGCATTTGACTTTATTCGATGCTTTGCAAAAGTAGAACACCACTTCGCGTTTCTAGCACATTTGCAATAACTTCCACAGTCTTTAGAGTGTACTTGATACGTAGTCCACAATTACGGCGTGGGTCATTAACAAGGTTGTTGTGACCTAGAAAACACCTGCAGGTTATGTTATTGTTAGGGGTCCTTTCCTATGCGTACCTCCATGAATACGCTTCCAGCATAACCGTTAGGCAGCATAGTCTTAATTCAGGCTCTCTTGTAATGAAGGTTCGAAAGTACTCTTTTTGTATGGAAGGCCATTCCCGAGATTACAAATGTACTAATTCTACAAAGCGTTTGTAATTACTAACAGAAACAAATATATTTATGTGCACGTGGAAGGTGTGATGAAAACGGAGTCGCAAATGGCTACTCGCACTAATTCGATTTCAGCATCGCGTTGATGACACGCCATCACAAGCTGGGCCCTTTCTTCCAACGCAGGTTCACCGTACCGCAGCGCACTCTCATCAACTATTCTACGTCTTCAAGAAAGCGGGACATTACAAACGCTCAAGGACCGCTGGTGGAAGGTCAAGGAGCCAGCGAGGCGATGTCCTGACGACCAGACGGCGTCCAAGAAAGACGCGGTGAGCGAGCTAGGCCTGCCCAAGGTGGGCGGCGTTTTCGTCGTACTGCTTGCCGGACTTGGTCTGGCTTGTCTCATTGCCTTCGCCGAGTTCTTCTTCAAGGTGCGTTCATCGCGCAAAAAGCGTCGCAATGCTTCGACAGGTGCTTCGACATCGGGACGACCGGTAGATGTGAGTGTCCTCAACGCTCTCTTTTGCTTTTCACGCAGGCGCGAAGGCTTAAGCTGCTCTGCTACCCTCATGTCATGAAGTTGTTTTGGTCTGGCTAGAATTTGTCTTTGTTTCTGTTCCCATTGTTGCATTTCACACCTGAAGGAGTACGTACAATATTGTTTATTTAGGTTATTTGGTTCGTTCATGCTTTCATTCATTAGTTATTACTTGGTTAGTGATTCATTAGCCAGTCAGGAGTCAGTCAGTCAGTCAGTCAGTCAGTCAGTCAGTCAGTCAATAAGTCCATCAGTTCCAATACCTTGAAGACTCCAGTTTAGGATTTTCATATTATGGTTGGGAAAGGGTTTAAAATAGCATTTGTTCTTCAGCATCTCAAAACACGGGCATGCGAGCCAGAGATAGAGAGAGAGAGAATAAGGATGAAAGAAAGGTAGGGAGTTTAACCATTGCTAAGTCTGGTATGCTACCTTGCACTGGTGAAGGGGTAAGGAGAATAAAAGTTAGAAAAGGGAGAAGGATAGAAAAGTCAGTCATGCTGTCGACGAAACTTTATATATCTTTATTTATATCTTAAGGTCTATGCTGCGCGTCACTCGCTAAACACAACATTTCATTGCGACTAGTAGAGTTTTTTAACCTTGCTGGGATAGTTTGATTTAACTCATTATTATAGCAATAAATCAGTGATCTTGAAATAATAGATACATTGTGTGTATGAGTGATTTTTTGAGAGCTGTCACATTACGCATTGCTACCGTTTGTAGCTCCACAGATAAAGCACCGAAATGTAGGAGTGGCGTAATTTTCAGTGTTAAAACTACGATAAAAATATAAGACGTGAAATAGTGCTAGTCTCTTAATTAATTTTGAGCACCTGGTGTGTCTAGAGCGCACTTTCATTGGAACAGTGGTGTTATTTGAATTTCGCTCTCATTTAGACGTGGTGGTCATGACCTTAAGTATAATCTGGGCCATTGATCTAATTCAAAGGTGCTTGCAGGTATGCTGTCTTATTATCTTCCATTGAAGAAACAGCGTATATATTTTCCAGTTTAGTAATTTTGCAAATTTATGCCAATGGCAACAAGAACAAAACGGTAGTACCGGGGGACTGTCATAAGGAAACACCAATTTATTTTCCTTCTTCCTATTTCTTTGCAGATCAGTGGCAAGTACCTCCTGTAGGTGGCCTCATAAAGTGGATAAATGAATTGTTCAAAAGTGTCTAGCACGGACAATGCTGCCAACGTCGACAAAGAGAGCCGAAGTGTCTCCTTTAAAAACTGTCGACTGTATGCAACTGCCACATCATTTTTTTCCAGGAAACTACGCGAGGCTCTAAGTACAAACAACGTTTAATAAATTTGTAAACATTCCGTATCTTTTTGTCTTTATGGATTTCCTAGAATTGAAGTTATACGGATCGGAAGATTTATGTGGCCTCTGTCAGGAAGTTGTCGCCTAACCATACCAGAAAATACGTTGTTATCATGAGAAGAACTTACGTATATAAGAAAAATAAGTGACAGGTAAGGATGTTCGAAAGTGGAGATTCAAAGTTTTCTCACAAAATATAATATTACAAATTATAACTACCGAAACGTCTAAGGAAGTCTAGGACTGGGCGTTGTGCTTTGTTTTGTAGTCTCTTAATCTGCCTGTGTCGGTGATATTCAGTTGTTAGCGTGCTTTATCGATGAAAACTGCGTTTCCGTAACAACACTTCCTGCTTCGATTTATTACTAGATCCACAAGCAGCTAGTAGTAGTAGTCTTGCTGGTGTCAAGATGGTTAAAGTATACTAACAGTATAAGCAAAACTGCCCGAAAATGTCGTGCATTTGTAGCTTTGTAGGCACGCGTGCTCCGATTTGGGTGCACGCTAAAGAACCCCAGGTAATCTAAATTTCCGGAGCCCTCCACTAGAGCGTCTCTCATAATCATATGGTGATTATGGGACGTTAAACCCCACATATCAATCAATCATTTCTAGCCTTGTTCAGAACACCCCAAAGTAAGAGTGTAAATAGGATGTTGTGAGGGTGTTTTATTCATGAACACCTCAAAATTAAAAATTGGAGCGTAAAAAGGGTGTTTATATAGGTGATTTTCATGCGTACACTCCTTTTACACCTTTTAGGGTGTAAATTTGTTTATAGTGCATAAGTACATCTTCACGGCCCGTTTACAACGATGCACTGACTATGAGACCACCTTACTGGACGATTCACGTACTTCAATATATTTTTATGTATTCTCTGCTGCCCGCACGCTCTTGCATACGCGTATATATTCAAACATTTGTTTCGGGGCAAAAAGAGAAAAAATAAAGATACCTTAGCCCGTACCATAAGTATACCGACAGGAAGAACGCGATAAGTGGCACTGAGACACACGGGGGCCGGCTCGCGCACACCGGTAGACAATCCGGTGTTACTGTCTTTACGGCTCAATATTTTGTTTTCGTATGCACGTGCTCCACTATGTGTACAGATTACATTGTTGTAAAAGCTTGAAAATTACAACCTCTCCTCTCTTCAAGGTGATTATGCAAGATTATGCGTAATCTCCATGAAGAGGGTTGAAACCTTGCTGCTGGTTCCATATGAATAGTGACTTGTTGTTTTGCTCACCACTAGATGACGCGAAAAGAGGCAGTGATTGCTCTTTCTGACGCTGGAGCGAGGTGCAAGCAGCCGCTGGAGCGCGCAGGCCACGCACTCAAGCGTTTCCTTTAATAAAAATGACGGCTCTACACGTTATCGCGCACAGAGAATAAAGCCCAAACTCCATAAGCGCGAAAATGCACGCGACAGCGACGAGCGACGCGACGTGGATCGGCGTCGCGCGATCAGTCGCTAGCGCAGGCAAACCTCATTCACGCGACGGCTTCGGCGAGCGAATTCCACTGTTGCTGGCATGAGGCCGTCAACTCGCACCAAGAAAACCGCGTAGAGAGCGGTTTCCAATTTAAAAATAAGATATATTGTTGTGTAATGGAACGGAAAGTGTTTATTATTGCCTTGCAGCATTTTTTATATGCGCATGCGTAATAAACATTGCGTTATTTCTTGTTGCGCATACGTGACTCGGGCAGGGTCACGTGCACCTATGTAGTCTTCGTCTTTTCCGGTTTTTCGCTATTCGGCTGCTTGAGCCCAGCACTTCCGGGCGATGAGCGACGGTTTCCAAATCTGGAGAACCGAGCGATCGCGCGAAAATGAGCACGCGACACGTCGCAAAAACGCCCTGTTTCGTCGCTCATAGCGTCGCTCGTCGCTGTCGCGTGCATTTTCGCGCTTATGGAGTTTGGGCTTAAATGCATTTTTACAAACGACATACTAAAGCTGCAGAATTATATAAAAGCGTGACATTGGTCCCCCGAGATAGAGCTATGATTTTGAGGTCAGGTTCAACCAACAGAACAATGAATTTATTTTATCTGGTGCAGGTGAGCTTGTATAATTGCCGTAAGAACATAAATGGAATTATCAGAGATAAAATTTTCTGAACTTACGTCGCGATGGCTGTTCCAGTTATGTGAAAGGCGGTGTTATTTATTGCCATAACAAATTTATGAACACTCTCGGCTGTATTTCGCCGCCGGCGTCAGATGGGCGTCAATGTCTTTCACCGTGCATGTATACGTATCTATATATATGAAAGCACAAAAACGAACAAAAAGATTTCAGGAAAAAGACCGTGGCGCGCGGAATCGAACGTGGGACCTGCGCGTCGTCAATGCGAGGCGTTAACCAGTACTTCCTTTGGGCGAACAAACGGCAAGCTATTCATATCTACCACTTACCGATGTTAGCGAGCATCTCGGGGAGGAAGGGGGGGACTATTGTGTTTTCAGCATTATCAGCAAGATGGCGCAGTGAGCGCGCGGTGGCGCACATCTCTCACGCGTTTGGCCGCGTAGAGAATAAGAGGGTGTATGCTCGATCACACACCTTTATCTTGCAGTGGAGAATCCTACGTCTTGGCTATCCTATGGGTTCCAATAGAACGATTTTGTTGTAGTTACCGGGCGCACAAAGGTCTCTGCAGTCGTTGCACAGCTTCCGTTAGCGAAAAGAGCGCGCTTTTTTGACACAGTGAAGTGTTAACTGAGACGTGTATTCGCGTCACTCTGTAACTGTGAGTACGTTTCGTGCGTCATTTGTGTGTGAGAAACGCGGGGCACGTTTCATTGTGCTTGCCATTCTGCGCGTGTCCTTCCAATTTGTTGCTGTCGAGTTCATTGCTTCGACTTTGCGGTAAAGCTGTGACTTTTTTCCATGGGCGTCCCAGTTTTTACAGCATATGGAGAGTTGCGGGGCTGCAGTACACCGTCATGCACTTCTTCGCTTTGACCTTCCCTGAGAAAAGCGCTTTTATACTTCCATTTTGAAATTTCCACTACGAATTGTTTGCGGTAGTTTTATATTGTTTCATGTAATGGATATGGCTTTATGATAAGCGGTCTAGTTCCCCCCCCCCCCACGGGTGGGAGATGGCGTGTATAGCCAGCAGTATTATACACGTGCTCGTCGCTAAACGGGCCGTGGTTCACATACAGAAAAGGATTCGCGTTTCACCCTCACATCGTGCCTCTCTACTCCAATGGGCTTACACGCCCAAACAATGTATTGTTCAATTCGATTCAATTCACTTTTTATTTCTTTTCAGACTTGAAAGAGAGGGGACAGGGATAAAAGCTACCACACCTTGGTAGAGGTCCTGCCCCATTTACAAATGACAGCAACACATTGCAGAGAAAGTATAAGCGACACATTAAAAACGAAGTAATACGCGATAACAATACAGTTTAAATAAAAGACAAAACGTTTGTATGCATCATTATATATTTATATATGTACAGACAATAAAATATTTGCCTATGAACGAAATTGCGGATTTTATAGATTTACATTTTTATACTCGATACACAAGTATAAATAAGCAGGTCGATATACTCAGGTGCATACGCCTTCTGGTAACATGTTCTACACAACTTAAACACGAAGGTAAGGTACGAAAGAAAAAAAATATACATTATTTACAGTAATAGGAATCTGTGTGACCTGACTGACGAAATTGTCTTATTTCTTGATTGTAGTTGCACAAAGGGTCAAAATCGGCCTTTGTAAACTTATTAAGTATGACTGGCACAGTATGTTTCAACAATTGTTGATGATATTTGACTCGAGGTGTAGGGACATGCCATTTTTTCTTATGCCTAGTATGTCGAATACTGTGGTTTACATTGAAATCAGCCAGCGAAAGTTTAATAAAATTATTGGACTTTAGGTATGACTTGTAAGTTAAAATAGGCGATAATTGTATAAAATGAACACAGGTAGAATATGAAACTTTACGAACAGATCTGTCTGGCTCCTCCGCATTTCTGTTCGATGCTGCTTACCTAGCAGTGGATACGCGGCTCTAAGGAACTCGGCAGGTTTGGATATCTGTCGTGTATCAGTTGACAAATGCAACGCTATTAGTGAATGCTATACAGTAAGGCTCTATATATAGTCTGGCAGTTTTATGGAAACATTGTAAGTATGGTTTTTCTAGATAAATATGTTTTTGCAAGGAGCACTCCAATCTGGGCAAGTAAACATCGAAGCGTGGCCTCTTGGTGGACTTCTGAAATATAATGAAGTTGAGAGTTATAATTTCCAAAATACAGGAGGAAAACAAATTTCGACAAGAAAAATTCAGCGAGCTTACTCTTATTTGCTTCCGAAAAAAACTTTTTCTCACTCTTCTAGCTTTCGCCGCGACTCTGCTGCGTCTTCCGCGCAGGCCTGGCGCTTTTTTTACTGGTACAGTCACGCTGAAACGTGACGCTTTCTAATTTCTTAAAATACATTTTGACACAACAGCTATTTATCCTGGCCATCATATATTCGATGCAGAAAAAGCGAAACCTCCATCAGTATGACGACACCACTTGTTTCTTAGCAACCAGTTTCAGAGACTTCAGCCAGCTTCGATTGCACGAACACTGCTACGCCACCTGCCGCTTGCCTGGACACATGCTCGCGCCACACATGACTTCAGACCAGGTGCGCATGCGCTCCTTCTTTCCGTATAAAGGCGGCACGCTGTAGCGGCGGCCAATTATGGGGAGACCGAAACCAAAAAAAGCCGCTACACTGCGAATCACAGTGCGCTTCCAAGCGAGACTACTGGGCTCGACTGCTTTAGCGTGGTATTTGCGTTTCCAAGCAAGACTACTGGGCTAGACTCGTTTAGCGTGGTAGCGCGTTTCGAAGCGAGACTACTGGGCTAGACTCGTTTAGCGTGGTAGCGCGTTTCGAAGCGAGACTACTGGGCTAGACTCATTTAGCGTGGTAGCGCGTTTTGAAGCGAGACTACTGGGCTCGA